GAATATTTTGAGTTTGTCCAAACTATCATCAAAATATCAACTTTTCATGAATTGAGAGTACTGATGTACTTAATTTCAATTAAGGCTATGTTTTGGGCCATATTTAGCACAATTTATTTTTTATCTCGAAAACAGATAGAGATAGGTATAGGACATTATCAACAAAAAAGTATTAAAATACCAAAGCAATTCCAAAAATGTATTAATATACGGGGTGTTCCATTTAAAAAAATAAAGTTGCTAGGACTTTTTGATGGAAGTGGCAACGCCGCAATGCTGAAAATATTTTTGATCGATAGAACAGATAAGGAAATGTGGGGGATGAAATTTTCAGAAAAATCTTCCTTTGCGTTTTCTAGAAACTTACCATCGACCGTGAGTCACGCTCTATATTTTAATCTGAGCACTTGAGTATTTCAAATGACGATGTTTTTTGTTTCCCATATGGGAAACTTTTTTTTCGATGAGTTTCAATGAAGTTTAACTTCGGCACTTGTTTGTGGTTTAAATTTAACTTAATATGATGCGGCCAACTGCGACCCACTGACGTTCAGTGTTTGTCAAATTCAACTATTATTTTGAAAAAATTTGAAAAAGTGCATTTCTAGATCGAATTTAACAAAAAGTTACTTGAAAGAGTGGTGTCTACGGCAATTTGATATCAATTTGCCAAATTTTATGCAACTAGGATAAAGTTAACGTTTTGATTATTTTTGACAGATATTTCCTTCAACAAGTTCGGTTAATTGTCATCAATTCATGTTTTCAGTCCGATGTTGTTCATGTGTTTGTTGAGTCTACAGTGTCCCGTCAATAGCCCGACCAGAACTCTAGTTGATCGCCTATTCAGACTCAATAGGTACTCCGTTAATTTTGGCGATGGCTCTTTAATGAACTCTTTGGCCTGTCTCATACCCGGAGCCTTATTTCATCATTTTTGAGATTGTTTTTCCTTCCAGTTGCTGTTACAAGTTTTTCGCAGCGCTTTTGCTGTACCACAAAAAGGTTCTGGCCAATGGGGAAGCGTCGTGCTCCTTCTCGTGCTAATGAATCAGCCTCTTCGTTGCCCGTGTATCCTGTGTGGCCTGGTACCCAGGCTAATGACAGTCTGTTTCAACTAACTAGTTCTTGTAGCTTTTCTAGGCAGTTCCAGACCAGTTTGGAATTGACCTGCATGGAGCTAATTGCTTTTATAGCTGCTTGGCTATCAGAGTATATTGCAATAGTATTTTTCTTGAACTCTTGCCTCAATAACTCTTCTACGCAGTGACGTATTGCTGCTGTTTCTGCCTGGAATATCATCACTTTTTCACCTAAGCTTAGGGAGACTTTTGTCTTTGGTTAAGTTATATAGATTTCTGCTCCTACACCTTCTTCAGTTTTTGAGCCGTCTGTGTAACAGGCAATCTCTGCATTTATTGGAGGTCCTCCCTTCCATGCCTCTCTTAGGGAACAAATCCATCT